TGAAAATGTTTTTCTCCCTGAGTCTGGCCTTCATAATTCCATTCCATCACAGATCACCATGACTTGCCCATCCTCTTGCAGATTTTGACCTTCCTCTGGATGCCACTATATTTATATTGAAATTCATTTGTTAGTTACTTTGAATTCACCCTACAGCTTAGTATTAACTGAAGTTCCTAAATCTGCTCTTTTCTGTTCTGGGAATTGGAATATTTATGTTTGCCATGGCTGAATGAAGGTACTAATTCATAAGTGTCTGTATGAATGGGCGGTTGTAAAAATCAAAATTCAAAATAAATAAATAAACTCAAACCTGGGTTGGTAGGTAGTCCTTTATTATAAAACTCATGCTGTAATTTCTCTCTCTCTCTTTCAAACGCTTTCGTCTTGGAAATAGGATTTTTAAACAATTTCTATAATAATTATAATAATACATCTGTGTATATTTATATATGAAATTATAAAAAAAATCTTTGTTGCAAGCATCAGAATTCCCTATTTGAGCAAAAGTAAAATCTTAAACTTCATTTAAATAATCTCGTGAGTCAATCAGAATGATTACAGGTAGTCCTCACTTACTGACCATAATTGTGACTGGCAACAACGTTGGTAAGCGCCACGATTGCTAAGTGAAAAAATCACATGACTGTGCCAGACTTACATCATTTCTGTTTCTGTCACTGAATCACTGTGATTGTTAAGTGAGACATCACGTGACCTGCAATCTCACTTCCACATTCTTCATTAATTCTGTTTGTGGGAAGCCAGTTGTGAAGCTCACAAATGACGCTGCAACAGCCATAAATGCAAGGATTGGTGCAAGGCTGTTTTTTTTCAACTGTCATAACTTCAAACAGTCACTAAACAAGGCAGTCAGTAAGCAAGGACTACCTGTGTATTGGGAGAGAGATCTTTGTACAGGGACAACCTAATGCCACTCTGTACATTATGAGAATGGGAACAGTCATCACATACTTTTTTCTTATTGCAGCACAATCCAAATCTGAACATAAAGGATTTGTCCTCAGGCTGCCCAAGAGAGTACTGAAAAGCCACAGAATTTTTGATAACAATTGAACATATTTTCATATGTATGTATCTTTCTACACATTTCTAGTCAAATGCTGAATATCATCAACCTGACATTTGAACTGGATCCAGATTTTTTTTTCACTCAGGTGAAATGTCAAAGGGAAGAGAAAAATAAATATAACAAGATGAGTGAAATTCCACACAGTCCTTCCACAACCAATCACTTTCTCAGTGTATCTGGAAAGCACCAGCATGGGGCTGTTAGTTATGCTGATCCTTGGGGTTATGGGAGTTTGAGTTCAGCACAGAGAGAGGGGACCAGTTTGGGGTTGTCCTCATTAGATTATAAGCAGGTGAGTGCTAAAGACCTCCATGGAGCCCTTTCCATGCACAGGTACTGTATGACGCAGGTTGGGAGAAACAAACCACCTTCACTATGTTCCTTTGTTGTGCTTTGAACTGAGTTCTTCTCTCCTTAATTTTAGTTCACCCGGAAGGATTTCTAAAATAGTAGAACTGGATAAAGTACAATTTGCTGCAGCTTTTGCAGCTTTCCTCCTGGGATACAGTGATGCAAGCAGGATGGAATTCCCTGCGCAGAATGAGCAGTAAGGCCCAATACTGTAGGACTGGCTTATCATGTTTAAAATATGTGATATAATAAATACATATTATCCAAAGAGCTCTGCCCCTAAGACCATTAAGTACAAAGTCAACAAATATGAATGTGCAGATGTATGCATTGATAAAACATTGTGTACACACACACACACACACACACACACAAGCACACAGACAGTCCCAGTCATGATTAGAGATGGAAAAGAAATTCAAGAGCTAAATCCCAATTGAGAAATTTGTATTTTTCTGAGCCGTGTAGTTTGTTGATCATAGAAAATACTGGAAAATATTTCATTCAAAATGCATCTTTTGAAAATAATATAGAAAAATGCAATAGGGGACGTGGCTTGCAAAACTATGTACGTTAGGCAAAATTGCAAACACATGTGGATGTTCAGAGAAATTTTACAAATTTTAGTGTATTTTTTTTAAAAAGCTCAAAATTGTTTGGAAGTGTAAGATTTACAAATAAAAAACCAGAAAAACCAGAAAAATGAAAAAGACGGAAAATGAGTCAAATAAAATTGACAGAATTACAAAAATTGAGCATCAGAGAAACTGAAAGCCTGCTGTTCTAATTTTGTCGTAAGTATCCTAGCAATACAGTATATGAATATCTGCATTTATAAAATATAGTTTTAAAAAATGAAGATTGCTGCTGTATGTATGTCATGATTCTATTTGTGTAGTATTTTGAAATGTTACTATGCTTTGGCCAAACACTACACAAAAACAATCAATATACAGTAGCTTCACATGACATTATGTTAATTCGTTTTTTAAAAAAGCATTTTATTTGATGCCCACATATAGTATGAAGATTGATAATGCTAAGAAAGGGAGGAGATGTGGATGAATGAAAGCATTTAGAACTATGGTTGATATATGCATTTCTTTTCAAAATTTGGAAATTAAATTGGACGTGACTCAGAATTCTATTTGGGCAGCGTCTGCCTTGAAAAATTTTCAAAGATAACAAAACATAATAAAACATACAGGGCTTTCATACATACACACGTCATGCCACATAAAAAAGTCATCCCTGCAATTAAAAGAAAACCAAAAACATGACTAATAGTGTTGTATCTGAATCAGTAATGAATCTTCCATGGCAGAAAAAAAATGACCACCCTATTATTTAGAATAAAAATAAGCTAAAGTGATGTTACAATGAAATCATAGCACCAATTATTGTTACTCTTAGTTGCACATTGAAAAGCTGGGGATTAAAGTGAGTGATAAGGAGATGGAAAAATCACAACAAATATCATTGAAATGCGCACCTTAAAAAAATCTAAATTTGGCACAGGGCCAAAGTATTAACAAACAATTAACCAACGAATAAACAAACAGGATCTTCCTTTCCTCATATCTGCATTTTGGCTGCTAATATTCACCCTGTGCTAATAAAAGATTTCAACAGAACTTTTGTTTGTATTTGAAAGAAAACTACTAGAATGTCCTCACGCTTCATCCAATGCATGTAAGGAGATTCATTTGTCTTTTCCCTTCTTTTAAACAGCTAAAACAACAACAAACCGAGTGGATTTTATGGGATTTCTTGTGTTAGGTACAAGAAAAAAAAAATCAATGATTTCTGTTCTATGGCCTTTTCTCTGCCATTTAGCTGCAAGTTAGTTTGTGAGTCTATCCCACTTCTTTCTCCTGAACCCAGTCCTCTTCTCTGCACTGCTCGGTAGCCCTGCCAAAGGCCTGCCTGTAAGGCAGCATTACCTATGGGGAAGTTTCAGGCATTGCTTTTAGGGGGAAGATCTAAAACACATAGATGGGGTGCTGGTGACTTGAATTTCCTTCCCTGTTGGGCAATGGGGGGATTATCGCTGTGAGAATGCAGTTGGTCAGCAATCATGATACCCAGCTGTGCTACTAAAATAAATACAAATGTTAGCATTTCAAGTAATGCACTTAGATGTGCTTTCCCATCAATTGGGTCTCCCTCCTGCCTCTGTGTAGTGCTTCCTAGCATGATAGGCCACTGTCTAACTCAGTGCACATTTCAGCAGTGGTTTAATAGCGGTCCCTAACAAATGGGGAAGATATAGATTTTCATTGGTTCCTGGGAGTACCAAAGCCTATGGTGCTGGCTTCTTCACTGATGATCCTGGGGGAAAGAGCAGTTGGAGATGGGGAAATGGTGCAGCTGTTCTCCTCCCCTCCTGTGCCTTTCCAGTTTTCCTGCAGTTCCAAATGTTCGCTTAATGCCCCTGGCAGGTTTTGCAACACATCTGTCGGAAGTATGACCGGCTACAGAACTTAGCTTTCAGTACCAAAGGGCAATAGGCAACCTTGTTGACATCTCTGCATTCTGAGGAAGAAAAGGGAGAGAGGGAGATGAAGAAAGAGAGAGAAAGAAACAATGAACTAGTCATTCCAACAGAAGAGAATATCTGTAGCTCAGGGTTGAACTAGGGAGCTCTTGGTGCTCTCTGAGCTTGGTTTGCTTGCAGACGTTTCATTACCCAACTAGGTAACATCATCAGTGCTAGTGAGTGTGGGGTTTGCTCCCTGTTATATGCAGTAGCTTGCTCTGCCAGTGTTGGTGGGGATGTGGTTTTCTCCTTGGTAGTTCCTTGATTAGGGTATTGTTTTCTGCTAGAGGATGTGGTTTTCTCCTTGGTAGTTCCTTGATTAGGGTATTGTTTTCTGCTAGAGGATGTGGTTTTCTCCTTGGTAGTTCCTTGATTAGGGTATTGTTTTCTGCTAGAGGATGTGGTTTTCTCCTTGGTAGTTCCTTGATTAGGGTATTGTTTTCTGCTAGATTGTTTGTCTGGTGTTAAACCCTGATTATCTGGGTGCTGATTGCTGGAGATGATGTGTTCTGGTTTTTTTGTTTTCTTCTTAGCTTTTTTATTTGTCACTTTTGTGGAGACATTTGGCAGAGAAGTGGAGAAGCTGCAATGCTAAAGAAAAAGCACTTCGTACTACAAGATTTTGTGGCCTAAGAGGGACGGCATCTAACAGGTCAAGGGTACTTCTAATTTACATCTTGTAACTTACAGGGGCCACCCAGATCCTCCAGGAATCCCCCAAGGAATATCTGTAGCTTGGAGTTGAACTAGGGAATTCTTGCGTGTGGTTGTTTGCTTGGAGACATTTCATTGCCCAACTAGGTAACATCATTAGTGTGAGTATAGGGTTTGCTACCTCTTCATATATACAGTTGGATCATTTTCCTCAATAAATAAATGGACAAGTATAATGTTTTTGACTCTTTTGTTTAACTGAGTTCTCTTTATCTAGTTTTAGGACTTGTCTGGAAAACAGACCACATTTTAGATCATATTTATGCAGAAATACTGAAAATTCAAACCGATTCACAAACTTTTAAGCACCTGATTGTTTGTCTGGTGTTCTAGTCTTTCATCTTATAGAGATAAACCACATTTACACACCATTCAAAAGAGACAATAAAAAGCCTAGGAAGGAAACAAAAAGACTAGAACACATCCCCTCCAGCAGTCAACATTCAGATAAGCAGGGATTAACACCAGACAAACTTCAGGTAGAAAACAATACTCTAATCAAGGAACCACCAAGGAGGAAACCACATCTCACCAAAACTTGCAGGACAAGCTACTATATATAAAGAGGTGGCAAACCCCGCACTCCCTCACACTGATGATGTTACCTAGTTGGATAAAAACATTTGCAATCAAACAGCCAACCTCAAAGGGCACCAAGAACTCCACAGAACTAGTAATTTGCTGAGTCCATACATCATGATAAACTCGAGTTTAGCTTAACCACAGCTTGCTGAACAAACCATAAAGGCAAAGTTCAGATAGAATGCTAAATTGTAAACCAGGGATGAACCATCTGTGGTCCTCCAATGCCCTTTTAGCAGCTTCTAGATGCTTTTGAGATTGTACAACAGAAAGTTGTTACTTACATTACTTGAAACTCTGTGCCTCAGAAAATTTTTAAAAGGGCCATATATTCTAATTCTCTTCTTTCTGGTGATATCATCATGTCACCCCCACTATCCCTGCAGCCCTTAAATGTAGGGGGGGAAAATCCAACAACTAAAAAGTGTGCTTCCAGTATGCAAAAAACCCCATTGTCATTGCAATGCTCTGTGGTTTACAAGTCAACATAGCTGGGTTTTCATGACCTGCCTGGCAGATCTCCCACTATGTGCTCCTTTGGCCAAAAGTACCCCAGGCCAAATTCACATCTGGCAGCCTATAGTTTCAGGGCTCTGGGCCATGTTGCAGGCCAGAATCCAAACAATTGGCTCGAGTAATACAGCCATTTCAAATGGTAAGTTATTTGTTCAGCTTGTCGTCCTGCCAGCATGCTTGTAAATCATTCCATGAATTGGGTACCTTCAGGGTTTTCTGTCAGTCCAGAATCACACTTGCTTTCACACTGTTGCATGGCTGCTGGCTTCAGGGTCTCCACACATTCACTGGATGGTTGTCCTGTGTAGGTCACACATTGGACTGAACGCCTTTGCTGGCCAAAGCTGCATTGCCCAGAGCACTGCAGGAAATAGCAAAGAAGATGCAGGAAGTTTGGGCTAAATCAAAATCACTGCCCTTCAGCTTTTTGCTATGCCTAGAGATTTTTAGATTTTTTTTAGCTTTGGCTTGTTCACATGTGATGTGAAACATCAATCATGATTTAGAAACAGTGGTTCATACAACCACATTTTGGCCTAATTCAATATGTGAACTCAGCCAGTATTTCTTCACTCCCTGCTAAATTGTTTTAAAAAGGGACATGGAGCTGAAGACTGGGGAATGTGGGTATGACTTTATTTGAAAACATGTCAGATAAAATGAAAAGGCCTTTGTGGATACACAATTAAGCCTGCCAAGATCGAAATAATTACTGGACTCTCCTTCCAGAACAGATAGCAAAATTAATCTCCAAGGCCTCAACTTCAAACGTTCTCTTTGTAAAAAGGAAGCCTAGTACCCACAATGCCTCCATGGACAGCACTGTGAGAACACAGTTAAAAATGTTTTTGATTTTTTTTTTTGTGGGTAGTTGGTTCACCAGACTGGTTAGTGTTGCACCAAAACATCCTACCAGCAAATTTAACAACCTGGAAATGTTATGGTTTATTGGGGGTACAAAGAAAGTTGATGAGCAAAAAGAAACTTATGATCGTTCTTCCTGTTTCTTGGCTGACAAATCCCCTTTTCTGTTATTGAAAATGTCCTTAAAAGCCTTTATGTCTTGACAAAATGATAGCCTCCAGTGAAGCAGCATACCAATTAACTTATTTATATATATATTTGTTTGATTTATATCTTACCTTTCCTCCAGAAACTCAAGATGGGTACATAGCATTCCTCCTCTATTTTGTCCCCCCCATGACAACAACCATTCTGTGAAGGAGGTTGAGTAGAGGGAATGATTGGCCCAAAGTCACCCAGGGAGGTTCCATGACTGAAAGTGGATTTGAACCTGGGTCTCTAACACTTCCATCACCACCCTCTCCCTCGGCCTTTGGACCAAACATTGGTCCCTTGGTGTGATGGAAAGTATCTATGCAGAGGAGGGTGATGTGGTGGATAGCAACAGAGTGCAAGGCTATCAGGAAGGACAGAGCACATTCCAGGAAGGGAAAGGAGACCAAAGGCAACACAGTCTGCAGCGTGAGCGTGAGAAGCATAAGAGGTTCAGGATAGCCACTCCCTAGAATCTCCCAGGGTATATCCACTAG